TATGAATTTCTAATAATTTCTGTTAAGTCTAGAAATTCTAATTGAGTATACCGATGGTCATATATAGAATGATTTTAATCCTGAGTTCTTAACAGACTCCTATTTATGGATTTCATATAAAGTCACATCTCAACTCGAATTAGCGAACTAAACAGACCCGATATTTTTTATTCTATCTTTTGACTCATAAGTTATAATTAGTGCATGTTTATATATCCTCTATTTATGGGTTGATTTATAAGTAGATAAAAAGAAGAAGACATAACTAATAAATGTTTACACAGTATCAATAGGGAATTATAAGGGTATAGTAAATATGAGGTTATAATTCTGAATAAAACCATCTAGACAGTTTATGAAATACCAAAGGTGACATTCAATCATACACATTCAATTTTCATAAATAAAAGTTTACCTTTTAACTTTAAAAAATAAACGACTAACCAACATACAGGGGTGGGACCCCCCTCTTTTTTTTTTCTTTTTTTTTTCTTCTCATTTTTATCTTTTCAGGGGGAAAAAGGGGAGAACAACTTGTTACATAAGCTTACATAATTTATGCTCATTTGAAAAGTAAAACCGTTTATTTTATCAATTTAAGAATTTGAGTTTTATTATAAGTTAAAGCTCTTAAAAACAGTTATATTTAATTTTTTTACTGTAATAAAAAATTTTCACATAAAGTCACATCTCAACTCAAATTAAAAATTTAAATCAGTAAACTAAATAGACCCAAAAAATAAAGCAATATCACTTTGTAATTATCACTGTAATATATTCTCCAATCGATCGAGCTACATTAAACATTTCAATAACATTTCCCATTACACAGAGCTTTGTTTGTTAAACTATGTACGTTGTTTACTTTTGCATTATGCTAATTGAACATGAACATAATCAGTTAATCACTTTATCACTCTTTTTTACCCCATGGACGTGATCATATTGTATATCCATCTTTTCTTTTCTTTTTCTTTTTTGCATTTTTTCCATTATTTTGTATGTGACGATATTTGTTCTTTTTTTCTTTTTAGCATTTTTGTCATTTAGTGGTTGCTACTTATTATAGGGGATAATTATTAGGGATATACGACTTTTGATTTTTAAAATTAATTTGTATATTTGTTAACAGTTTCCCCCATCTAATTTTCATTCAAAATTTCGCAATCAAATATAGAGGATTTCTTCCACCAATGATTGAAGATTAGTATCCATAATTAAACCCCTTTTTCAATGTTATTTCTTCAAAACTGCAAAGACATTAGTTTCAAGAATTGGAAGTTTTTTTATTATTATTTTTGGCATCATCATAATTTCATGATTTTAAAAATAATAATGATTCTACATTCACGCTTTGTAGAATAATGTATATATGTAGTACCACACGACACGAATGTTATTTTTAAAGGACCATGTGAATGTTTTGTTGAATAATGTATGTCTAATATGTAGTATCACACAACAAGAATGTTATTTTTAAGGACCACGTGAATGTTATTTTATTATCATAATTTCTCGATCAATATAAAATGTTTAAAAAATTACGGATTGAACATGTACTTCTAACAACACGAATATTCTTTTATATCTACTAGTTGAAATACTAGTTAATTTTAGTATGTTATATTTTTTATATGCTTACATCTAAAATTTAAAATTTTAGTTTACTGTTTTTTGACTTGTAATTATCTTAGCAGTAAAATCGAAATACAAAAGCAATTTACCTAAGTAAATAAGAGATACAAAATGACTTGGGGTACATATAAGAAGAAAAAAGATATTTTTAAGGACCCATTTGAAGTAAAAATTTATTTTAATGACAAAAATAAAAAAATAAAAAGAAAAAATCATTAATAAGATTATGTAAAAAATAATAGAGAAAAGACTGACACGTGACTAAAGGAAAAGCACGAAAAAAAATATTTTAAGAGAACTTTTATAGTAGGAATTATCCTTTTTAATTAGTAGCAACTATTATTTTAACCATTTGATTAAAATGTCAATGACTTATCCTGTGCGAGCTCACGTTACAAATTTGAAGCGAACAACACAAAAGTACATTATGGCATTGTTGATTTCACAATTTAAGTTATATTGTTACAATATTTTCTCTCATAAAAATTTAAATTTAATTTTTTTACTATAATATTTTTCTCTCATATACACAACTCAAATTCTTTACTTGAGTTGTGAAATAAACATGCCCTACAATTACCACAAATCAAGTCGTTGAACATCATTATTCACCGATAAATTTTGGTCCCGTTTATTTCACCGATTCGAGTTTAGAATTCGAGTTTTGCTACAGTAAAAAGCTCTAAAAAACAATCACATCTAACTTTTTTACTACAGTAAAAGCTCTCACATAAAATCACATCTCAATTCAAATTAAAAACTCGAATCAGCGAACTAAACGAGCCCTTAGAACAAGCCTTATCGTAAAAATTCTCAAAAGAAAAAGTAATTTAAAATTAATGTAAAAAAATGCACTAAAGCAACATTTGATAAAAAAGAAAAAAAAAGTAAAAATAATAAGAAAAAGTAAATAAAAAATAAAAAAAAGGAGATTGACATGTGACAAAAAAAAAAGAGATAAATAAAAAAGCAAACATTATAAAAAGAATACAGACAAAAATTAAATTAGAATGAAAAACTAAAAAAAAATGGGGAGGTTGACATGTGACGAATTGAGGAGAATTTTTAAGTATGTATAGATATATATTACAGTTATGTGACATGCTTGATATCAGTTTTTTGTGATAAAATATGCCCCGCTTGTTATCAAGTTAGCAGGCCACATTTCATGGCGCGGCTTCTGATAGTACACCGGCTCACAATGGGTTGAGTTTGTACATAGTCCTATTATCGAAATTGTAAGAGTGTTCAAAGTCGGTTTTGGCGGTTTTTTTAATAAAAATCACTAACTAAATTATAAATAAATTTTTTTCTTTTGAGCGGTTTGATTTTTTTTTTGACAAAAATTGAATTAACTAAATCACCCATAAAATGATTTGGGCAGTTTGCGCTTAATATTAAAAAAGTTTTTAATAATTTACAAAAATTATAAAGTTGTTAATTCATAAAAATAAAAAAGATTTAAATTTACAATATAACTCCAAAATAACAATGTCTAAAAAAGTTCATCATTAAAAGTTTTAATACAAACCAAAAAAAGGTGATAATGTATATTTTATAAGTGTAAAACTTTTATTATGATAAATATAAATAAATAAATAAATAAATAAATATTTTAAAAATAAAAAATTATATATGTATATTTTTGGACGAATTATTAGGCGGTTTTGGAAAGTCAAAACGATAAACCAAACCGTCTAAAAAAATTAGACTAAAAAGCCGACCAAACTGCCTAGTAATCCAAAAGTAATTGAAAATTTGGTTTGATTTAATTTGTATTAAGCGATTTTTGATGTTTGACGGATTTTTTGAACACTTTACTAGTATGAGGAGAAAACCAAAATACATCTCGGAATAGTACTATTTATGTCATCAAAGTAGCATAGTACAAACATGTATTTTTTAAATTAGTTAAAAATAATCTTAATTGGCACAAAGGTGTATTTTGGGGCATTTTAAAAAAAAGTAATTAAACAAGTAGTAAAAAAGATGGTTAAATACGTAATTTTCTCATTTAAGTGAATAAATAATAAAATTTTTAAAAATTTAAAGTAAATAACCTCTCCTCACTCACTTTCTTCAGGTTTTTAAAAATTTGTAGCAGCTCTGCACTCACTTTCTTCAGGTTTTTAAAAATTTGTAGCAGCCCTTTTTAAAAAAAAAAGGAAATTTTTTTTTTTTTTTTTTTTTTTTTTAAAAGTAAGTTTGGCCATAAAATGCTGCTAAAACTTATTCTAGTTTTACGTCAATTATCGATTTTAACGACTCACTTACTATATAAATCATCCTTAAGTTTGAGAACTTCTACATTAGAAATCATCCTTTTTTTTTTTTCTCTTTCTCTAATAAAAATTATTTTTTTAATTGATCGATTAATTTTTTTTTGATAAAAGGAAATTTCATAACTAAAAAGAATGAAATACAAACTTGACATAAACTCACAAATGACCCCGAATACAATGAAATTCAACCCGAACAACTGGACCTATCAGTAAAAATAATGATAACACAAAGGTGAATACTAATGCCGATACCCAAAGAAGAAAAGCCCAATCGACACATAAATGTTGAACATAGTCGAAGTTCGTTAAAAAAGACCAAACAGTCGATGGATTAACCAATTCGATTGAGACCAAACCCCTCGTATAGGGAACATCTACACATCTTAAGAAAATTCCTAACATGACTAAATAACCCACACCGATGGTGATTAACTCAACCGGGTGGGGGACATAACTAACACTGGGAGGTGTTAAACTTAAAACCACCACCTCCTTTATTATCAACGCACCAAAACTAAAAACAAACACATAACATAAAATCAACACTAAACACAAGTCCTGGACACCACTGAGAAGCACGTGTTCGAAATCCCTCAACGCCAGCCATTATGAAGCCTCAGCAACCCAACTATGTCCATTTGCCCATCAAAACTCATCAATAGCTCCAACTTGGCCATCCCCACAGTGAGACCAGAGGTTTTGTTGGCCTCTTACAATCGGCACCACGAACCCAACCACAACCACGGTTGGATTCCTTAATATCGACAGCAGGCGAAAGACGGCCAAAACCCCCCAAAGTGTGACATATCTAACCAGATCCGAGCACCCTCTGAACACTCATTCCCATCACAATCTAACCCAGCCCGATCAGAGACCATATCGACAGCTGAGCGCCCAATTAAATTTTTAATATAAAAGAAATTTTATAATGCAGAACAGAAATAATTTTTATTACAAAACAAACCGTTAAAAATGAGTATAATGATTAAACTAATAATAATTCCTCCGGATGGGAGGAAAAAGACAAATATTTGATAATAAATACGATTACTGGTTCCAACCTATATCACATCCAAAGTCCACTCTCACACTCCACAGCATTTGAAAAAAAAAAAAAAAACCCTTCCTCTCTTTCCCCCTCTCTTCCTTTTCTTGAAATCATCAGAAAACAATGATCCTAAAGTCCCTAACGGCAGCAATTTTCCTGTCGTTTCTCGCATTTTCGCCCGTTCTCTGCGACTCAGTTTCGGAAGTCAACGCCTCGCTCCCTTACCTGTGGCCGCTGCCGTCGGAATTCACCTCCGGAAACGACACTCTCTCCGTCGACCCTGCCCTCTCTCTGGCCCTCGCCGGAAGCGGAGGGCGCGGCTCCGCCATTGTCAGAGCCGCCTTCGATCGCTACAAGGGGATCATATTCAACCACGCCAATGGCGGCACTTCGCGAAGAAGTCGCGTGTATGATATCAGAAGCTTGAAGATTGTCGTTGACTCCGATAGCGACGAAGTGAGTCACATTTGGGATTTTGAATTTGATATTTGTGATGATCTTCGCAATTAATTTAGAAAGTTGATTGCCTTTTTTTTTTCCCCCTTCTTTTGATGGCAGCTTCAACTTGGTGTGGATGAGAGCTACGAGTTGTTTGTGGCTAAGAATGATGGGCAATCGGTTGTGGGTGAAGCGACCATCGAGGTAAAATCGAAATTTTTCAAAATGGATTATTTGGTGACACCCAAATTAATATGTGATGTTGTTTTGATTATTTGGCTAATTCACAAGCATTTGATTTGAACTGCTATAGTTACACCATTTTGCCGATTGATACATTGTTACATTGGTGAATCAGGGAGACTTCCCATTCTCTCTCTCTCTCTCTCTCTCTCTCTCTCTCTCTCATGGACAACAATCGAGAATTCCCACTTTCACTTGAAACAAGTTAATGAGCGCAATGAAGGTCACTCCAACTTCTACCTTTGAGCAGGATACACCCATTTGGTTCTGGGAAATTATTTAAATGAGATTCAGTTTTCTTTAGCTAAGTTTTGAAATTGAGGATTTAGTAACTAAAAGTGATGGATATCTCATTAAGTTAAAAAGTGTCTGAATTTGATTTGCGCATTCTACTAAACTGATCTCATTCTACACTATCGTGCTTTGAGGCTCTAGGTTCATCAGTGATGTTGTTGTTACTCTTTTTGCAGGCAAACACTGTATACGGTGCACTCCGGGGTTTGGAGGTACGCAATCATTGTTGGCCTTTACATTCTAAAGCATGAAAACTGACTGGTAAATGAGGTTGTTGCCTTGCTGTCTCGAACTCTTTAACTTTGAATTAGATAATCAAAATCCCATAGCAGCTACATCCTAAGTGGATACGTGCCACCTTAACTTTGAATTAGATAATCAAAATCCCATAGCAGCTACATCCTAAGTGGATACGTGCCACCTTAACTTTGAATTAGATAATCAAAATCCCATAGCAGCTACATCCTAAGTGGTTCTTTATATATATATAAAGAATCACTTACGATGTAGCTGCTATCGGATTTTGATTATCTAATTCAAAGTTAAGGTGGCACGTCTATTGTTCTAAGTTTAAGTTTCTTTCTTACCGGACCGATGTCTCCTTTCACTGGCAATTTATGACCTTGATTAAAAGTCCTGTTGTAGATTCACGTTGCGGTATAATTGCTACAGAGAAGAGACAGAGGGCTTTTGTCTCGTCCATAATTTGGTATTGTAATTGGTTTTGGGGAAGTCCTTTATAAAGAGCTTAGTAAAATGACTTTTTATATCCTCTGCTTTCTTTTTGATTGAGACTTGGGACTAGTTTGCTATCTTCCAAAGGTGATAACAGGAATATACCAATCTGCATACATTGTGTCTGTGTGGTGTTTTATGCATCTGATCTGTCCCTAACTATGCTTCTCTTCTACAATTTTCAGACATTCAGCCAATTGTGTACTTTTGACTATGAATCCAAGTCTGTGCTAGTATACCAGGCACCCTGGTATATTCAAGACAAACCAAGATTTGCTTATCGTGGGCTTCTACTTGGTAAGTTGCAATTTTGTTTGTCGGTGTCTGCTATTGTTATACGCATTCGTTTGGTAGTTATCCTTTACTATTGGCTGCCCTTTATGGTTAATCTTCATAGGGATTTCATTTTACATATCATTATTGAGTGCCCGTGTTATTACCATTTCTGCAGATACATCAAGGCACTATTTCCCAAAAGATGTAATTAAGCAGATAATTGATTCCATGTCATATGCAAAACTTGTAAGAAATACTAATTTACTTTAATGACGTAGTCTCATCTTCCTTTAATGGTTTAATTACATGATAATAGTCTTCTGGATACTTTCCTTGTTATTGTACTATTTCTTTACTTTTTCTAATACTTTTTCATTGATACTGATATTAAGAATTACATTAAGTAGAATGTTCTTCATTGGCACGTCATAGATGAGCAATCATTTTCTATGGAAATACCTTCATATCCAAATTTGTGGAGAGGCGCATACACAAAGTGGGAGCGTTATACAGTAGAGGATGCAATTGAAATTGTCATGTAAGATTTCTACAGTTTTCTTTAGCTTATGAGCTGTAAATGTAATATCTCTTTTTTTTTTTCAGTTCATTTTTTAAGTATAATTGTGGGTACTGTTTTGTATTTCTACGATATGTTGTAGTTTCGTACCATTGGCATTTTAAATCAAATTGATTTTGGACAGTTGAAATTGTAATTTCTATATATGATTGTTGGATGCTATTTTTTGCATAACACAAAGCAATACAAACATCAAGGTTTGATGACAATCTTTTTGTCGTTGGTATTTGAGACGTTTGGTTAATGGATTAGAATCATGTGATTAGAACCATTTTTGATTTACATGTATTTTTTGTGAGAGAAAATATTGTAGCAAACCATGAACCATGATTCAAATCATGGTTTGAATCCTCCAACCAAACATCCCCTTATTTAGCTTTCCCAATCATTGTGATTCAGAAAGCAGAGAAGGTTAAAAAGAATGCTTTTAGTTGGGGGAAAAAGGCAGATTCCTAATCTTCTTTCTTCTTTATAATTCTTTATAAAACTCTTACTGGCTAAAGCACCAAGAGCAACTCTTTGAAATGTGGATGCTATACTCTTTTTTGTGTTTTTTGGTAGCTTTCTCGTTTTTCAACTTATCCTATATGCATTCCATTCATTTCAGTATACTAATTCCGGGTTTTATTTTCCACATTTCTACATATGATCTGAAGCCATGCCAAACTAAGAGGTGAGTTGAAACTTTACGTACTGAAGCTTCAGTAGTAAAGTTCTCTTATTATCTTGCCACATATGCTCCTCTCAGACACACGCGAATTTTGTGGTTTTAAAAAGCTGCGGTATCTAAATCTCATAAATACAGAAATCGATCTGATAGCAAAATGTGTGCAAAGATCACTGTAGTATGAGCAATAACAAATTTAAGATCTATACTGAACATCTTTTTCTGCTTGGAGTCTTCAGTTGATCGGTTCTTCTGCATTTTGTTTCAAGTATTCACACTTATGAATGGTTGCCTGATTATTTATGTATATAATGAGCAGGCATCAACATTATGGCCGAAGTAGATGTCCCTGGTCACGCAGAATCATGGTAAAAACCTTTACTAAGTGTTAAATTGGTCAATAGCCTGTATTTTGGTTATAGTGTTCTAGTAAAGAAATGCAAGCCTTAGAAGAAGGAAATCATTTTTTTTCCTCTTTCAATTGGTTAACATAGCTCACCTTTAAGTCAAATGCTGGGCAGGGGCGCTGGATATCCGGATCTTTGGCCTTCTTCTACCTGCAGAGAGCCACTTGACGTTTCAAAGAATTTTACTTTTGATGTGGTTTCTGGAATTCTTGAAGGTTAAGCTCCCTAAAAAGTATTCTTCAGTTGATATTGTTAGCGTTGAAGAATTTATTTCTTTTCCTTCCTTTTATTGTTAGCATTGAGATCCTTCTGAAATAGAGCGGCCTCTTTCTCATGTAATTTTTTTTTATTTTTGCTTTTTGAGTAATGTTACATACACATCATGAAAAATTTAACTGCGAACATCATGAATGCACGTGTCCAAATTTTGTAAGTTTTATAAAATTGAAACTTGTCTGTTGTCTTGGCTTTTTTTAACCCTTGATGACTTATTCTTCGGTTCATGATGTGTATCATTTTCTCTCTCTTCTTTTTAGTTAAATGTTTCTGAAGTAGGTCTTTTGCTTAAGTTGTTAAAAGATTATGTTTTGTATTATCATTTTTGGTACTGTAAACTCGTAGTGTACCCACGTAGTGTCCTCTGATGTTTATAGGAATTAGTTTTGATTTCACAATGGAACTTCTCCTACTTCATCACAGTTACAAGAAAATTCTTCATAGCTTGAGTATGAGGTTTTAATGGCTGAAAAGTTGGAAGAGTTTTTCTCCGTTTGATCATCTAGATCCAACCCTTTATTGGGGTTAATTTTTTTTTTAAGGTTCTTAGAAATATGTCTTCTTATCATCCCAAAATTATTCACTCTCAATTTCCTTGTCTTTTCTGTTCTAAAGTTTTCACAAGAAACTCTATTTCAAGGTGCTGCAGCAAATTTTCTTTTTTACTAATGCTTTACTTTTATGCAGATCTGAGAAAGATTTTTCCCTTCGAGCTATTCCACTTGGGTGGTGATGAGGTTAATACAAGTTAGTAAGACTTATCTTTCTTGTTGTATGCTAAGCTTCTGCTGTCACTTTATCATCAAATGAAGTAAAGAGACAAGTTATTATGCTCTGAGAATTAAAGAAGACAAAGAAAGTTAAAACATTGTTTGTGCTGATAGTGGTTTTAAAATATTGCAATCTGAAATCTCCTTATTGGTAACTCTTTATTGGGGTTAAACATGCTTACATTTCCTTATATTTTCCCTTTTATTTTACAAGCTGAAAGAGTGCCATGGTGAACACTCTTAGAAGACATTTTAAGAAACTGTAGCTGGACCAATTACTGTTGAGGTTTACTCTTTAATAAGGATTTGGTATAGGATGGAGGATTCTTTTCACGTTATTTATGTATTATAGTAAGTCCTATTATGGGGAGAGAAGGGAGCAAAAGTGTTGTGTAGTAACTTTTGCTCTAACTTGTGTGACCGCTTGCTTCAGAATCCTTGCCATGTTTATGAACTTTCAGGCTTTTAAAAGTTCTATTGCTGTTGTATTGCCAGTAAATAGAATCTCTCATGCCCCCAGTTCGACCTTTTTATTAGACATTTCTATAATAAGATTCTGTGAACAAGAAGTAAAATAATGTTTTAAGTAGTTTCCCTCTTTAATGCGTTCTTTATTAATCTCACTAATAAGAAGGCATGGAGTTTGTTTTTTCATTGGTACTACTGCTGTGTATGTGTCTATATCTCATTGATGAGAAACTAATTCATATTTGGCAGGTTGCTGGAGCTCTACTCCCCATGTGAAGCAATGGTACTTGAACTGTTTTTGTTGATCGTTGTTGTTTTTTGTATAAGCGATCATACTTCATATCGTCTTTGCATAAGTCAACAGTAGTATGCTTTCAGAGAAAGACAATGGCCCCTTTCGTTTTGTTAGTTCAAATCACATTTCAAGTTTTTGTTACTGTGTTTACTCTCACAAAAATTCAAAATTCAATTTTTTTTTTCTGCAATGTTTTCTCTTATATGAATTCACTTTTTAACTCAAGTTCTCAACTCTAACGAGCAAAACGAATGGGGCCAATTGTTTACAAAACCTTGAACCATAAACTCGTGTTTGAAAATATCTTTTCTATTGAATCATGAATGTTTCCTCATCTTAATTAGTAATACTATTTATACAATTCTGATGTGTATTATAAATAATTATATATGTAGGCTTCAGGATACAAACTTTACTGCCAAGGAGGCTTATCAGTATTTCGTACTCAGAGCACAAGAGATTGCAGTTTCAAAAAATTGGACCCCAGTAAATTGGTATGCTGCACGTGACTGTCAAATAACATTTCATGCATTTTAAAGTTAGTAATATCAATGTATTGGCTTGCATATGGAGAAAAAATGCCTAGGCAAATTCAAATTTGATAATCAATTGATAGCTTATGCATGCACGTATTTACTAATAATTGTTTATGCAATGATTTGTCAATAAGAAGGCATCGACCGTTTGTGTATGTCAGTTTGATACTCAATTTGATTTTCTCTCTCTTTTTGCTCAACGGAAGAGAGTGATGGAATGGGTGATTGAGAGGGTTTTATGGGTCTTGAAGAAGTGAGACTTCTCACTGCACCAGGTTCCCCCGAAGGATTAGTCGCAGATAACCAAACGGCTAATAATCTAGAGCTAAGGATTAGTTACAGATAACCAAACGGCTAATAATCTAGAGCTATGTTCAAATGCCTTAATTTTGTCTCCTTTAGCGTTAGCGTTGGTGCCATCGGTTGAGATGAAAGAGAAGGAAGGTGGGCCATTGGAAGGAAGCAATATAGAAGTTGGTAGGATGGAAGGGGAACAAGGATCGGGAAGGGCTGAATCATGTTTGGGAGGAGAGAACAGGTTAATTGCAAGAGAGGAACAATACACTGACCATTGGAGGAAGGAGAGGGAATTGAGGAATCTGGAATTCAATATCCGGTATGATAAGAAGCATAATGGGGATGCCGATAATTTAAATGAAGTTGATGACATGGAATATTAGAGGAGGGAATTCTCCCTTAAAAAGGAGGGGAGTTTGGGAGGTCGTGGGTAAAGAAAACCCTGATACTTTGATTCTTCAAGAAATTGATCACACGAATTTTTCAAAAATGGTGTGATTAATTCAACCATTAATCACACTTATACCACAACAGAGTCTGTAAATGAGAAATCCATGTAGAGTGACATTTTTACGCTGGCTGTCAACCTACTGTAACCTTCCTCCTTTACCCGGGCTTAGGACCGGCTATACGAATCACCGTTATTAATCACACTTATCTCTGTCTTAAATAAAAAAAAACCAATTCTAGAAGATTGAGGGCTTGTTCGGTTGCATTTTTGAGTTATGGTGACTTGAGTGTAGATCTTGAGTTGAATTTGAGTTATAACTTGAGTTGAAGTTGTAGCTTGAGTTTGTGGTTGAATGTGCACATTTGAGTTATGATTTGAATTGAGAATTTATTTGAGTTTGTGTTTGGGTAGGTCAAAACTTGAATTTGTATTTAGATAGTATTTTAATAAAAACTCAATGGTGATGAAAAATTTTAATATGATATATGAGTGGGGTTTTATTCGTCTCTTCATTGTGAACAGATAGAAAAAAAATAATCTCAATCGGAATTAAAACGAAAAAATTATAGCATTTTTAAGAATAAAAAAATATTGTTTATTAATTTGAGTTTGAGTTTTGGAACTTGAGTTGAAGGGGGAACTTGAACTCAGATTTTAACTCTAAACTTAAGTTGAAACTCGAGTTAAAACTCAAATTTTACAAAAGAACATGAACTTAAATAAAGTTGTAACTTGAGTTCAAATTTTTTTTTGAGTTTGGTAACATGCATTTACAAGATCATATCAAAAGTATTGGCAAATAGATTGAGAGAGGTATTAGTGATACAATTTCGACATTGCAGGGTGTATTCGTGAAGGAGAGGCAGATCTTAGATGCGGTGCTCATTGCAAATGAGGCAGTGGAGATACAAACTTAGCGAAAAGTGAGATTTTGGGGAAAATTGAAAGGCTCGACAGCAAGGAGGAGGATAGTTTTTTGGAGGAAGACGAAAGGGAGGAAAGATGAATTTTAAGAAACAGGTTGGAAGACATAATCTTCAAGGTGATGGTGGCTTGGAAACAAAAAATGAAGTTTAGGTGGATTAAGGAGTGGGATGCCAATACTAAGTTATTTCACAAGCTGTTAGACAAGGAAGATGATTTGGTCTTGGAGGATAAGGAGGAGATTATTGGAGAGACTATCTCGTTCTATGAGAAGCTATTCAAAGAGGAGGAAATAGGCTCTTGGTCCTTCGAGGGCATAGATTGGGGGGAGATTTCAGAGATGAGGCTCGGTGGCTTGAGAGACCATATGAAGAGGAGGAAGTTAAATTGGCAGTTTTTAGTAGCGATAGGGATAATCGCCAGGACCTAGTGGGTTCCTTGCAGGTTTCTTCCAGGAGTGTTGGGGTGTGGTGAAAGGAGATTTGCTTAAAGTCTTTGAGGAATTTTCAGGAATTGTGTGATTAAATTGGCCATCAATCACACTTATCTTTGTCTTATTCCGAAAAAGACCGATTCAAGAAGACTGAAGGATTATATGCCAATAAGTTTGGTGACGAGCATTTACAAGATCATAGGTTAAGTTTTTGGAAACAAACTAAGAGAGGTGCTTAGCGATACAATTTCGATGTCGCAGGGTGCGCTTGTGAAGGATAGGCAGATACTAGATGTGGTGCTTATTTGCAAATGAGGCAGTCGAGGAGTATCGGTCAAACAAGAAAAGGGGATTGGTGTTCAAAGTGGATTTTGAAAAGGCCAATGATCATGTTAGATGGAGTTTTCTAGATGAGGTGTTGGAGAAGAAAGGTTTCGATAATAAATGGAGGTTATGGATGCAAGAATGTATATCATCGGCCAATTATTCGATCATGATCAATGGGGAGACCTAGGGGAAGATTTGGAGCCTCAAGGGGTTTAAGGCAAGGAGACTGATAGAGTCTGTGAAATAAAAGAAGTTAAATGGAAAAATCTGGTGCAAAAGGGAAATTTTATTGATGATCAGGGTACGAGAATCTCAATACAAAGACCAACAACAAAAGCAGTCCATGTGGAGTGGACTAATCTCCAAATACAAATAAAATTCCAATTCAACGATAAAAACCAAATGGACTCTTTGACAGGTATTTATGCCAATACCCAGAATCATATTATTTGCCAAACAGAAAGAAACTACTTGCTGAAACTTAGGAAAATAGTGGAAGAGTGGAGCACGATTCTGTTAGACATGGGGTGTAAGACTCCAAGACTCCTTCAAGGCCCTCCACGTGTGACTTGACTTGTTCAGCCACTAAACCTTCTAATCCAGCGAAACCAGAAACCTCTCCACGATTCTTCCTATTCTTCCGAAAGTAAGTCTTGGGAGGAGGGATTCTATCAGTACACCCCCCTTGGAAACTCGCCTTGTCCTCAAGGCGAAAATCAGGGAATTGTCTAGCTAAGAGATCATAGTTTTCCCGAGACGCTTCCTCAATAGGACGATCTGACCATTGCACCAGGAGCTCAAAAGACGAAAAAACAAGACTGTGTTACGCAACGATGGTCCAATATCTGAGCTGGTGTTAAGGTGAGCTCCCAATCATTAGAGATGGGCAAAGCAGCTGGAGGTGTGGTTGGGAGTTGGCCATGAGCAGGACGCAGCAAAGACACATGAAAAATGGGATGGAGTTTGGAATCCGAAGGCAGAATCCAATTCATATTCTACTGGTTTGACATGACGAAGTATAGTATAAGGCTTGAAATATCAAGGAGAGAGCTTTTCATACTTTCGCTTAGATAAAGAGCGCTGATGAAAGGGTTGAATGCGAAGGAAAGCTGCGTCACCTACTTCAAAAGAGAATTCTCTAATCTTAGAATCAACATACTCTAATCTTAGAATCAACATATGCCTTCATCTGAGATTGAGCTTTGAGAAGATTTTCACACAGAAGCTTCAGCATTTCATCACGTTTCAGCAGTTGTGCTTCTAACTCAGCAATATGCGTTTCCCTAAAAACGAAAGGATGCAGGCTAGGCGGATCTCTACCATAAAGAACCTTGAAGGGAGTGGTACCCGTTGAAGTATGGAAGCCCGTGTTGAAGGAAAATTCTGCCCAAGTGGTGAATTTGCTCCAAGAAGATGGCTGTTCATGTGCAAAGCATCGAAAGTAAGCCTCTAAGCAGTGGTTCACCACCTCAGTTTGGCTATCCGACTTAGGGTGATAAGAAATTCCCATCCGAATCCGAGTGTGACTGCGTTGGAATAGCTCTTGCCAAAAAGCGCCAAGGAAAATGACATCACAATCAGATAGGATAGAGCAAGGCATGCCGTGCAACCTAACAATTTCCCTGCAAAAAAGAGCAGCCATTGATTTTGCAGTAAAAGGATGTTTTAGTAAAAGAAAATGGATGTACTTGCTGAATCTGTCTACAACCACCAAGATAGTGTCGTATCCACCAGATTTCGTAAGGCCAAACAATAAAATCAAGGGAAATATCTTCCTAAACTCGTTCCGGAATTGGAATTGGTTGTAGGAGACCAGTTGGTGCAAGTGATTGATATTTATTCTGTTGGCAAACCATGCAATTCTGAACATATCGCTTCACATCTTGTTTCATTTGGGTCCAGAAAAAGCAAGAGGTGAGACGCTTGAGTGTCTTGAGATAGCCGCTATGTCTTCCGGCCAATGAATCATGAGATTCGGCTAATAATTTCAGACGTAAGGTAGTATCATCCGGGATGACCAACCTATTCTAGTAGAAGAGTTTCTTGTCCGCCAGGTGAAAGTTGGGTTGTGGAGAGCCTCAATGATGTCCTTGGTATATGGATCTTAGCTTAAAGCATCAGGCAAGTGCATGAAATCCATGTTAATTGGCAAGACTAATGCAAGAAAATTGGCATGTTGGGGTCTTCTAGATAAAGCATCATCTCCTTGGGGCTTTGTATATGATAGTGAAATCAAAAGGGAAAAGCTTCATGAGAAGGCGTTGTTGTTCGTTGGTGGTGACTCGCTGATTTAACAGATACTTGAGGTTGCAATGGTCAGTTCTCACAAAAAAATGTTGCCCTAATAGATAATGCTTCCACTTTTGTAAAGCCAAAACCAAAGCCAGTAATTCTCTGTCATAAGTAGATTTATAACGATTAGATAGAGAAAATCCCTTACTAAAGTATGCAATGGGGTGTTTTGATTGCATGAGGACAACACCCACCCAATTAGAGGAGGCGTCACATTCTATGGTAAAGGGCTGG